CTATGACCATAACCAACTGAAGGTGTTTCCTGGATTGGATCCACTCGTGCCAATAGATGAGTATCACCCTTCGTTGGACGTCAAAATCAATCTCTCATATGGGGAGTTCTTGCCTGGGCTGCGGTCTTCGCCTGATGAGAGTTCGCATGCGATCCCCGATTGGAATTGGCGTAAGGCAGACTTTCAAGCTCTATATACTGCATTAGCTAAATTAGATTGGTCCGAGTTAATGACTTTTACAGACGTAAATTCGGCCGTAAATTTTTTTTACAACAAATTGAAGGAAATTATTAATTTATATGTACCAAATAAAAAGCTTTCTCCAAATCATCGTCAGTATGTCTATCCGAAGTGGTTCACGCCTGAGATCATAGAAAATATAAAAAAAAAATATTTTCATCTTAAGAGATTTAAGCAAGAAGGCAAATTATTTAATAAAGAACTGTTTAGCTTTTATCGATGGAGGGTTAAAACCTTAATTGACAACGCATATGAGCAGCACCTTAAGTTGATACAGAAAAGCATAATTGACGATCCGGTATTTTTTTGGAAATATGTTAGTGATAAAAAGAAAGAAAGACGACATACTGAAACGTTTAGTTATAAAGGTGCAGAAGTAACAGGTCAAGATGCGGCTAATGCCTTTGCTGAATATTTTGGCTCAGTATTCCATAATGAAAAGCCCCTATTAAATTATGTAGATGCCGAAAATGCGGCTAACTCACAAAATAACGTGATGCCCATCTCAGTCAGGCAAGTAGACGAAAGTGATTTTAGATTGGCAATAAGACGCCTAAAACCACGATCTGCTGGTGGCCCTGATCGCATTCCCGCTTTTCTGGTCAAGGATTGTGCGCCAGCTCTTCGTTCACCGCTCTTGTTTATTTTTAATCTGTCTCTTAGACAGGCTAAATATCCAGAACAATGGAAACTATCTAGGGTGACACCTGTTCCAAAGGGAGAACCTGGAAAAGATGTTTCTGCTTTTAGACCTATTGCGGTGCTTTCGGTTCTGGCGAAGATATTTGAAACCATGTTGGACTTTCGCATTAGGAATCAGGTAGATAACATTTTGCATGAAAGTCAACATGGGTTTCGAAAGAATCGTGCAACGACTACTAACTTGATAGCGCACGTGGACTATGTCTGTGCTGAGATGGATTCTAGGAGACAGGTAGACGCCGCCTATTTCGATTTTAGGAAGGCTTTTGACCTGGTGAGTAATGACATACTGTTACATAAGCTAGCTAAGTTGGGCTTTACTCCGAAACTTCTTCAACTCTTTGCTAGCTATTTGGATAATCGTCGTCAATTTGTTAGAGTGAGTGGTTTCGAATCCGCTGATTATTTCACTAGATCTGGGGTGAGTCAGGGTAGTACTCTTGGCCCTACGCTGTTTTTAATTTTTATAAATGACTTGCCTACCAAAGTAAAATTTGCGAAGTGTTTGTTATTCGCAGATGATCTAAAATTAAGTTTGGCGATTGGTAGTGTTGCTGATGCACAGTCTCTTCAACGAGACATAGATGCGGTATCGAAATGGAGTCAACTGAACCATCTTCCTCTTAATGTGACTAAATGCAAGGTTATCACTTTTGCATTAAAACAGAATCCTGTCATTATTAATTATAACTTATACGACGCGCCTTTGGTAAGAGTATATGACATACGTGACTTAGGTTTAATATTAGATAGTAAATTGAGTTTTCACAATCATATGACATCCATTTGCAAGTTAGCTAGTAAGACTTTGGGTTTTGTGATGAGGACTGCAGCTGACTTTGATGATATAAGGGTGGCTAAAACTTTGTACAATGCGTATGTTCGTAGTAAGCTAGAGTATGCATCTGTGGTCTGGAATCCTTATGAGAAAAAGTATACTCTCTTGTTAGAGAGGATACAACGTAAATTTGCTCGTTGGCTTTATAAGAAAGTTCATGGGTACTACCCTTATTTGTATCCTTCTTTATTCGTCTTGGGTATGGTTGATTTTGAAACCCTAATGTTTAGGAGGGTGATGTCAACTATTAGGCACTATCTTTCTATAATTCACCACAAGTTGGATTGCCAGTCGGTTATGGAGAGAATCGGTTTGTTGGTGCCCAGGTACCTGCATAGAGGTAATGGAGGAACGGTGGCTCCGCGCCGTAGGGCGCGTCTTCTAGATAGACCAGTTACGCGTACCAAACGTGCTGCTTTTGCACCAACAAATCGTGCATTAATACTTATAGGGGACATACTCACTCAGCACGATGAAATTGACCTATTTGCAGACAGTATATCACGTCTGCTGACTCTTTTTTATAAAATCATTGATGATATGACAATTAATAATTGGACAATTTAATTTCGTTGACTATGTACTATTTATACTTTATATTTAAGATGTGATTTTAATTATGGGCATATTAAGATTGTTATTAGTTTTTATTGACATTGCATTATAAATTGATATGACAAAATGTTTAATTATTAATACTTTATGGTTTTAATTGGCTTTATTACCATTTTAATTTCTGACACGGGCTGCCAAAAGCTTCGAGATTTTATATTACTATTATTTTACAATTAATTAATTTATGATTATTAATTTTTGTTGTAATGGATGGATACTATTTCTGAAAAAAAATTTTTTGCATGTAAAATTTAACCTTGTGCGCGTGTTGGATTTTCTGTAAGCCACAAGTTTATGAATTAAATAAATAAATAAATAAATAAATAAATAAAAACTGCAGTCACCCAAGAAAACGTTGATGCTGTGCGTAAGCTGATTGAGGAAGATCGACATGTGACATACCGCGAAATTCAGACAACTTTAGACATTGGCATGAGTCAAATACAAATAATCTTGCATGAACAATTAGGTGTAAAAAGTTGTTTTCCCGATGGATACCGCAATCGCTATGTGAAGAGCAAAAAGCGGCTCGCGTCGCGTTACTTGGTGCGTCAGAGCTCTCGAAAGATTCCACGCAGGATCCTCAAATGCTGTATACAACATCCTATCAGGTGACGAACGAATCCTGGATATACGCGTACGAACCCGAAACATAAAACCAGTCACGAGTTTGAGTGTTCGAAAATGAGTTAAAGCCAACAAAAATTGTTCGTTCACGGAGTGTTGCAAAAAAAATGGTGGCCACGTTTGTCTCCAAAACCGGCCATGTTACGACTATTCCTCTTGAGGGACAAAGAACGGTTAATGCAGAATGGTATGCTAACATTTGTTTGCCACAGGTTGTTTCTGAACTCCGTAAAGAAAACTGCAACCGCCGCATCATCCTCCATCACGACAATGCTGTTGACCGGATGATTTCTGCATTTGCTGATGAAGCGCCATCCAAAACTACAATTTATCGCTGTTTTGCTGAATTTCAACGTGGACGTGTCAAGCTCAGTGATGATCCCCGTCAAGGTCGTCCAAAAACTGCAGTCACCCAAGAAAACGTTGATGCTGTGCGTAAGCTGATTGAGGAAGATCGACATGTGACATACCGCGTAATTCAGGCAACTTTAGACATTGACTTGAGTCAAATACAAATAATCTTGCATGAACAATTAGGTGTAAAAAAGTTGATTTCCCGATGGATACCGCAATCGCTCTGTGAAGAGCAAAAAGCGGCTTGCGTTACTTGGTGCGTCAGAACTCTCGAAAGATTCCACGCAGGATCCTCAAATGCTGTATACATCATCGTATCAGGTGACGAATCCTGGATATACGCGTACGAACCCGAAACATAAAACCAGTCACGAGTTTGGGTGTTCGAAAATGAGTTAAAGCCAACAAAAATTGTTCGTTCACGGAGTGTTGCAAAAAAAATGGTGGCCACGTTTGTCTCCAAAACCGGCCATGTTACGACTATTCCTCTTGAGGGACAAAGAACGGTTAATGCAGAATGATATGCTAGCATTTGTTTGCCACAGGTCGTTTCTGAACTCCGTAAAGAGAACTGCAACCGCCGCATCATCCTCCATCACGACAATGCGAGTTCTCACACCGCACACAGAACAAAAAGAGTTTTTAGAGCAAGAAAACATAGAATTATTAGACCATCCGCCGTACAGCCCCGACCTAAGCCCTAATGATTTCTATACTTTCCCTAAAATAAAGAATAAATTGCGTTGACAGAGATTTTCATCACCTGAAGAAGCTGTGGACGCCGACAAAACGGCCATTTTGGAGACCTCAACTTCCGAATGGAATGGTTGCTTCAATGATTGGTTCCTTCGTATGGAAAAATGTGTCAAATTTCGCGGAGAATACTTCGAAAAGCAATAAATACATTTTTAAATAGTAATGTTGTGTCACTTCCTTGATTCCCGAAATTTTCAGTGCCACCCTCGTACAAACACTTGTTCCATGCGGGATTCAAATCCTTGACCCCACAGCCAAATGCTAAACCACTTCTCTACAGAGCCCTCAAAAGTATTAAGAAGAAGGTGAAAGGAAGTGAAATAGGAAGAAAAAAAAACTTAATTTTATAATCTTAGTAATCATAAGGAATTCAAAATTTATGGTATTGGGTAAACATAATGGTGTTAAACTGTTAAATAAGCTAGAACTAGTGCATTATTACATAGATTAGTGGTAACGCATGCCTTTTATCATGCGTAATTGAACAATAAAGGAGGCTTCCATCCTTTTTTTATCGACTCTCGCCAAACAGACATTATATTAAGCATTACATTTCAAACTGATGTTACTGCCATTATCATATTAATACAACATGTAACAAAAATCCTGTGGTTCCTGTTGAGTGTGTTATTAGAATCAGTATTCAAATGTATAAAAATATGTTTTCTTCAAAAAAACTCAACCATACAAAATTAATTTAAATTAATTTTTATTTGCAAATTGCATGTGGTTTTATTATTTTTTTAAAAATAAGTCCTGCTGGGTGCCTTGCTGGTTTAGAGCAAGGCACAAGTTATTCTGATCCAGTGGTAAAATCATTTAGACTTTTAATAACTATTACTGGTAAAATGTATAAAAATTATAATACCTGTTTACACCGCCTGTAACAAGGCACATTGCGAGTGATGAGAAACTGCTTTTCGGGTGGGAGATAGGGACGTAGTTTAGACTCCTCGCCACGCGCCCACTGCCATGTAGGGCAGTGATGAACCAAATGGTCGCCGGCCGCAACAAACTCTTCGGGCGTAAGGACACCAGTTTCGTGAAATTTTGATTCCTGTAATAGAAAGAAGACATTGAAGACAGATAATTTATTATAATTTTTATCAACTGCTAGCTTCGATCAACAATACCAACTAGATATCGGCTCGGCGCAAAAAATACGTCACAGTAAATAACAGCGCACTGGAGACGTGAGCTCTTATTTCGTTTAGTTGACTTGAAACACAGCCAATGTAAACATGTTTCACCATGCCACAATGTGTATTTAAAAGTTGCAAGAATAATGCCCGAAAAAGCAATTTAACGGCCAAGGTGTTTTACTTTCGGTAAGTACATGTCCCATCAATACTCTTGCAGGAAGTACAGAAAGCCATCATGTTACAGAAGCTAGAAAAAGCTCCAGGACCTGACAATATAACAAATGAGCTAATCAGAGGCACCGAAGAAGAAATAAGCCCAATCCTAACCAAGTTATTCAATGATATTATAACAACAGGCACCATCCCGAAACAATGGAATGAATCACATATCATTCTCCTACATAAGAAAGGAAATAAAGATGACATCTGCAACTATAGACCAATTAGCCTAATATCAAATGTGTACAAAGTATTCGCAAAAGTAATTCTAGAAAGAATAACAAGGGTCTTAGACGAAAACCAACCGATCGAACAGGCAGGATTTAGAAAGAACTACAGTACTATAGACCACATCCACACAATCAAACAAGTCTTGGAAAAAATACAATGTATACCAGAAGACATTGTATATCTGCTTTATAGACTACTCCAAAGTGTTTGACAGCCTAAAACACAAATTTATCTGGTTGAGTCTAAAAGAACAAGGAGTGGACGATGTCTATATAGAGTTAATCAAGTCCATCTACAAAAAACAAAAAAAAAACGGTATTAAATTAGAGTCAAAAGGAGACCCCTTTTCAATAAACAGAGGCGTGAGACAAGGAGACCCATTATCTCCAAAGCTTTTTAATGCTGTGCTGGAACACACATTTAGAAAATTAGACTGGGATGATTATGGTATTATAATCAATGGAAGCCGCCTCAATCATTTGAGATTTGCAGATGATATTGTCCTGTTAGAAGAAGATCCTAAGAAACTAGAACATATGGTAAAAGACATAGCAGAAAAAAGCAGAGAAGTAGGTTTAGAAATTAATGCAGATAAAACAAAACTAATGACTAACTCAACAGAAAGCAACATAGAGGTCTACGGAACCAAGTTCGAATATGTGAAAGAATATGTTTACCTAGGACAAATTATATCTGCTGAAGACTCCATGTCCAAGGAAATAAACAAAAGAATAGCCTGCGGTTGGAGGAAATACTGGTCCTTGTAAGAAATAATACTTACTTACTTACTTATCTTCACGCACAATCCCTGACGGGGTAGCCAGAGAGAACAGATCGCCAAGTGTCACGATCCTTACATACCTCTTTCGCTTCTTTTAGATTCATTATCTTCTTCATACATGCACGTCTAGGTATCCGAGTACTCTTGACCCTACCCTCTTCGAGCAATTTGCTCACATGGTCTTAGAAAGTTAGTCTCGGTCTACCTCAACACCCTTTAATATTAACTTTCGCGCTATATATTTTCTTCACCATTCGGTCTTCACTCATTCGCTCAACGTGCCCAAACCACCGAAGCACGCCCTTATCAATTTTTGTGATAAGGTCATCTTTCAAACCTGCCATATTGCGAATCTCTTCGTTTCGCTTTCGGTCGGCCATGGTAACGCCGCACATTTTACGAAGAGATCGCATCTCCACTGCATTCAACTTGCTTTTATGCTTCTTCTGGCATACCCAGGTTTCGCTGCCATATAACAAAGTCGGTACCAACACTGCGTTATGTATTGCAAGGCGTGCACTCTTCACTACGCCTTGCCTTTTGACTAACGCAGTCAGGGCAACATTGACTTTGTTCCCGGCAGCGACACTCCTGTCCACATCTAAATCACATCTTCCATCCCGGCTAAAAGCACTCCCCAAGTATACAATTTCATTTACTTGTTCTAGACATTCCTGATTTACCCATATTTCACACTTCGTTCTCTCTTCGTCCCTTTCAAATACCAGAACCTTAGTTTTATTAGCTTTCAAACGGAGACCTTTAATTTCACATTCCTCTTTCATACACGTGACTAATGCCTGCAGTTCTGCCTCTGATGGTGCAATAAGCACTGCATCATCAGCATACAGCAGACAATTTACTTTTATGTCACCCAATTTCACACCCAAACAGCTATCTTTCAGCTTTTGTAAACAGCTGTCGAGATACAGTATGAACAGCCAGGAAGACATGACACCACCCTGTTTTACGCCCGTTTGGACGCTAAACATGGGTGACAGGTCATGCCCTACCCGCACACAGTAAAGAGACTGCACAGCCCTTAGCAATCGGCCATCCACACCATACCCCGGCAACAGTTCCCACATTTTCTTCCTTACAACCTTATCAAATGCTTTCTCAAGATCCACAAAAGCACAGAAAATCTTCTGGTTAGCAGCCAGAAGCTTTTCCGTGATCAAGAAGTACTACCGTAAGAAATAATGAAGAACAAATATCTAGGCATACATATCAAGAGAAAGACTTTCAACACTTGTATTCTCCCCTGCATGACATACAGCTGCAAGACATGGACATTAACGGACAAACATAGAGAAAAACCTGCTAAAACAGAAAGAGCAATGGAAAGAAGCATGTTGGGAATCAGGCTTAGCGACAGAATCCGAAATGTGGAAATAAGAAGGAAGACAAAAGTAATAGATATAAAAACTCGTATAGACCATCTAAAATGGAGCTGGACAGGACATATGCTACATTGCAAAATAAATAAATGGAGTAAACAAGTAACCTTATGGTATCCAAGAGGAGACATCAGAAGACAGGGGCGTCCGAAAACAAGATGGAGGAGAGAGCTGGAGAAGGCCTATGCCAAGAGGCACGCCGAATTACACGATATAATATAAGAAATAAAATTTATAAAATCAAAAATGTTAAACTGCATGTAGTTCAGAATAAAAGGGCTTTATTATTATAATTATATTATAAGTACATGTAGAATAAGTTATATTTTAAACTCTAAACTAACAAATAATATCATATTTGAAACAAAATTACAGATTTTAAAGCACCCCTACAAATGTTTTGCCAAGTTAGGCCAATACCCGCGTAAATATTTGTGAAACAGAACAGTAGATGCATGAAGTGGATTTGTATTGTAATGATTTTTAGTAATTTGTTAATTTGTAAAAAAACTTTAAATAACGGTAATTGCTACTTTTGTCTCTGTTTGTGTAATTTCATTAGATACTTAGCTTTATTGTTTTTATTTTTTATTTATTATTCTTATTGCACACCAACACAAAGAAGTATGCAATAGGTGGTCTTATTGCTAACAGCAATTTCTTCGAGACAACCATTGAATGGACAGGATTACATGTATATAACAGGGGTAGGGCAAATTGGTGTGATAAAAAGAATACCTACACATATTTATTTATATATATATATATATATATATATATATATATATATAATACATATATATATATATATAATCATCATCATTACAGCCCTTCACAAGTCCACTGCTGAACATAGGCCTCCCCCAAAGAATGCCACAAAGCACGGTCCTGAGCCACCTGCATCCATCGACTTCCTGCATGTCTTACCAGGTCGTCACTCCATCTCGTGGGGGGACGCCCTACACTTCGCCTACCGGTACGAGGCTGGCACTCGAGAACCTTTCTTCCCCATCGGTTGTCGGTTCTTCGAGCTATATGGCCGGCCCACTGCCACTTCAGCTTACTAATCCGTTGGGCTATGTCGGTTACTCTGGTTCTACTGCGGATATCCTCATTCCTAAGTTTATCACGCAGAGAAACTCCGAGCATAGACCTCTCCATAGCTCGCTGAGCGACCTTGAGCTTCCTCATACGGCCAGCAGTGAAGGACCACGTCTCAGTTCCATAAGTCATCACTGGCAACACGCACTGGTTGTACAATTTCGTTTTCAGGTTTTGAGGTATGTCTGACGAGAAGATGTGTCGTAGCTTCCCGAACGCTGCCCAGCCGAGTTGAATCCGTCGATTGACCTCTCGGTCGAAGTTGGACTTACCTAGTCGGACTATTTGTCCCAGGTAAACATACTCGTCAACAACTTCGAGCTTAGTGTTCCCAACAACTACCGGCATATGTGTGACATGGACATTGAACATGATCTTTGTTTTGTCCATGTTCATCTTAAGACCTATCCGTTGGGAAACACTTTCGAGGTCATTGAGCATAGTGCTCAGGTCCTCCAGCGATTCTGCCATAAGGACTATATCGTCGGCAAATCGAAGGTGAGTGATGTACTCGCCATTGATGTTGATACCGTATCCTTTCCAGTCCAGAAGCTTGAAAACGTCTTCCAATGCAGCGGTGAAGAGTTTCGGGGATATGACGTCACCCTGTCTTACACCTCTCTGCAATTGGATAGGTTTCGTACTCTGGCTCTGTACTCGGATAGCCATCGTAGCCCTACTGTACAAGCACTTCAACACTTCGATATACCGACAGTCAACTTGGCACCGCTGAAGGGACTGCAGCACCGCCCAAATTTCGACGGAATCAAAGGCTTTCTCATAGTCCACATACGCCAGACATAGTGGCAATATATATATATGTATTATATATATATAATACATATATATATAATACATATATATATATATATATATATATATATATATATATATATATATATATATATATATAATCCATATACTACAAACATATATACATACAAAAACTAAAATAAATATATATTGAATTATCTAATTAATTGCAATTATACTACAAACTACATTATATTTAATGACTAGTGTGGAAAGTATCTATAAACAAACAAACATAAATGCCCAAAACATAAATAATTTTAACTAAAGTTATGATCTTATTATAAATTATTTTAGTGTTCAACACAACTCCACAACCTCCTGTAGCAAAATTCTAAGAAGCAAACAGAAACAAAACAAAACAATGTAGCTTGCAAGGCAATAACGGGAAAAAATAACTTTAATTTGTTATTACTTAAGGTTGATTTCACACTAAATGTGAACAGGAGTAATGCATTGATTTGTTCCTTTATTGTAACTAATGATCGTAAGATTTGCAACTTTATTACTAGGTGCCATGGTTGTAATTGGGTTGAATATAAAACTGTTTTAATTTTTTGTCTCAGTTCTTTAGTAAACAAATGTAGTTGTATAAGTATATGTTCACACCGACAGCATTTAGCTAAGATTTTGTACATGACCCATTATCTAGTTGGTATTGTTGATCGAAGACTGCTAGTGTAAATTCATTATAATTAATTAGTACCCAAAAGCTTAGTTATAGTATCAGTTTTATATAACATAAAATCTATACAAGTTCAAAGAAGTTTCGTTGGCCACAAAGCGACGGGGGTGTATGTTTTCAGAAGGATGGGTGCCCTGCTTATTATGAGCTAAATGTGCGAAGTTTTTTAAACGAAAACTATGTAAACAGATGGATTGGCGGGGAATGACCAGTAGGCTGGCCAGCACGTTCACCTGATCTGACACATCTCGACTACTTATTGTGGGGTGCCATGAAAGAAAAAGTCTACAAAACCACGGTAAACACTGAGGCTGAATTACAAGGTTGAATTTGAAGATAAAAACCCAGGGATGGTGCATAAACCTACAAACCAAATTGTTCTTCATGTGGTAATGTGCCTTCAGCAGCAAGGGGTCATTTTGAGCACTTAATGCATTAGTTCTAAGAACTGTAAAAAAATTTATATACTTGTGACTTGATTAAGACTTGTAATCAAAATCTGACTTTTAATGGTGAAATGTTAACACCAGCGTGTTTTTGAATTACATTTTTTTTTTATTTGCCTTAGCCAATGTTATTTTGCATGAGGTGAAACGTAATTGCCTTGTGTATCTGTGCGGGTCCCTAAATGTCCAAAGATAGAGACAGTGTACCTATTCAAGTCTGGATAGACAAGCGGGCAAATTTTTGATTAATATTGTTTGTTACAGGAATTTATAAAGATACACTTGAGTACAGTCATGTGTAAGGGTTCACCATGTTTGTGCGTCAATAAAATACCTGTTGGATCAAGAGTGAGTGAGATGTTACGTCACTTTAGCAGAGCGTCATATTGATGGTGGAGAAGTGGAATTGAGGTTATATTAAGACCCCTCCCCCCCCCGTTTGTGCCGTATAAAATTCACTGTCAGCGCCATGCACGGGAGATTCCGCTTAAATCATTCTACAAGTGCTTAGATAGCATTGTGGTTCTATCCATGGTAGTGGTACTTCTGGTGCAGGCGAGGAAGATGGTGTTACTGAGAGGCTGCTGTGTTACATTGAGATGGGTAGTGTTGCTGTTGGTTTGAATACTTTGGTGTTATCATGTAATTGTCCTTCATGTTAGACCTGTGTGTAATTGTGACGGGGACATTTTACAGTGTGGTTGAACTGTAATTGCTCTATACTGAATGTATAATACATTACAATGTCTTATTACTGATAATGATTAATAGGGTATCAAGAGAGCAAGTTATACATACGCTCTCACACTTTTACTATATTTAACAACTTCTGATGTATTTCAGAGATCAGAAGTAAGATCTCCTGTTGTATTACCAACAAACAAAATAGGAAATACCTGCTATGTTTCTATTTTAGTCAGAGGAACCTTACTTCAAAACCATAGTAGATTTTGAGAAAAAATTATATTTGACAAAAGAAGTTTTAATTTCATACATTGATGAATAAAGCAAAACTCCAATTCTTTTGATTTTTATTAAAAAAAAATCACACCATGGCTAATCTCAGATCAGTGTATTGTTTACTATATCAAATCCTCATAATGAGAGGTCAGCCTATCCCCCAACTCTGTAAGACGCACCTTCTTACATGGCCTCCAGCTGCTATTATTGCAAATAAAAATACTTTATTACAACTTTAATAAATCGGGATGGTAGCTCACTCTTCATCATCATCTATAGATCATAGTTATATTTTGAACATTAAAATAATGAAAATTATAGATGCAAGTTTTTAAGAGCCACAGCGTCTATTTACAATCAAATTACCAGTGTGATTGTTGGTCACTCAGACTTGTATAAAAACATTCTGTTAGGTTATTTTTTACAATTTTAGATAGCCTGTTGCTGTTCCAAATAATAATATCTTTAACCTGTGATTTCTTCAGTTGCACCATGGCAAGGGGTACTGCAAATCAATGGCAACGTCGGAAGTAATGAATAGGTAAAAATTAATTAATTAAAAAATTGAAGTAAAAATAATTTTATTCAATATAAGTAAAGCATTTTATTTTTCCGTAACTGGACATAAATAAAAGAGAATTTTACTGTGATATTGCATTAATACATGCAGATAATAATTTATGGGTTACTTATGAAAACGAAACAAAAGATTTATTATTACCCACCTTCAACACCGGCGTTAAATATCCAGCGACGCCCAAAGCAGTTCCCTTCACCGTATTAATTACACTCTGCATTATTTAATTTAACTTTAAGTAAAATATTAATGAGTGATAGTTAAAATCAAGAAAATAAGGTAGTGATAACTGTTCTTATCTCACTATTGAAAAAAATAATAAAAACAATGCTGAAGGCTGAAGATAATGAAACCACAGAGTAATTTTATAAACTGGAAAATGAAACTTCCCGATGTATTACTTTTCTCTATGATTGTTGTTGTTTTTATTATTCGCTCGAAAGAGCAGGCAAAGGAACTATGCCATACAACCTTGTCTTTTTTATTTTTTGAATATATGGAATTTCACTGCTTCACAATATGTTGATGCGTCACATTGTGCAGCCCTTGGGAGATTTTGACGGCAACTTGAGCCAGCAGACAGCTGACAGTTGGCGATGGTATCTAAAGGTGCCTATGCAAACAAACAGCTTATCTTGAGAATCCATCACTATCAGAGCACTTGTTTCACCGTTTCCACTAATAGTTCACATGCGTAGACATTAATACATAAAAATCACACCACTTTTACATATCAAATTCCATTTCAAACTATTATTTAAACTATAATACAGGAGCAGCAAACCGCGGCTGGTCAAGTTCCCGCCAAAAACTCTTTTCACTATGAATGAAACAATGAAATCCCTTGGTTTTTTTTAAACTGGCTTTACGGCTCTGGGTTCTCTAGCCCTTCTGAGCAGAAATCCCTTGAAATCCACAGAGCCACAGACTAACTAGTAGAGTAGAATAAAATCCCATAGATTTAGTATCTTAATCATATAATATTAATCAAGGTAAACAATAGTCGATAAAAATAATTGATAAACATCAGTTGTTTACCACGACAGGATATTACTCCTAGTATTTAAATGAATTATCTGTATTTTTCCCGAATTCTCGAATTCTACAGATTTTTCTCTTTTTTTTTGAGGTAGTGTACAATGTACATAGACCATAGACCTCGCCCCTTTTTAAACATCTCATTTAGCTTCTTAACGTTAGATATCGCAGTAATACCGCGATTATTTGAAAATACTTAAAGGCCATTATTATAAATTCTTAAAGCCATCTACACTGTCGGGACCAACCACCAACCGTCGTGACCTTGGTCGAGTTGATGTAAAAATGGACAGTGTAGACATCGGTTGTCTGACCAATATTTTGGTTGATGTCCGACGGCCTTGGTCGCGAGCGCATCACTCACGACACGTCGGGTCCGTGGTTGACGCCGACCGTGTGGAAAGCTGTCGGCCAACGAGTCAAAGAGAGCGCCAGGCGGCAGGCACCTCAGTGCGCGCTTGGCAGTCGTCACGGGCGAACGTTTAACGGCACTATGGAAATGATGTACCTGTACTAAATCTCAAATCTTTAAAACTTCTTTCCGTAGCCAAAAATCTTAATGTAGCTATTAATCGTTCTTCAGCAGACACGGCTTGACGCATAACTGTATTTTTTTTTTGTAATCATTGGACGCACCATCTCAAGTAATTCATTAAAAGTAAGTCATTAAAAGTATCTTGATCCATTCTGAGAAAATTCCGAAAGTCTTCAAAATCAAGAATCCTTAAAATATTGAGATGGTTTAAAGTAATGCACTCCCTCAGTCACAATTTTATCCATTTTCTTTCCTTTTTCTTTTTTCTGCCGACTTCCAAAAAGGAAAAGGTACTCAATTCGACGCGTATGTTTTTTTTATGTGTGTAACTTCATAACTTTTTACTGGGTGGACCTATTACGATGATTTTGTTTTATATGAAAGCTGATACTTCTCGTGTGGTCCCATATGAGTTTGATCAAGGTCAGACTAATAGTTTTTGAGTTATTCTTAAATAACTTATATTGAAGTCGGCTGTACAAAATTATTAATTTTAAATTATTTTGATTATTTATTATTGATATTCAGTCAATATTAAAGTATAGGAAAATATATGACAAAATGAGTATAATAGCAAAATTTATTGGAAATGCCATCCCATACGTAGTGCATAAAGGCATGATTCACTACGTATGGGATGGGTAGTGAATATATATATATATATATATATATATATATATATATATATATATATATATATATATATATAAATTAATTAACAGTGAACTCAAATATAATTTTTAAAATGGAAACGAGGAGAATAAAAAAATAATTTAGCAATTGTTTGGAGAATAGTACAGCATAGCATAGCAATAGCAAAATGGCAAGATGACGTGTACTAAACAGACTGCAAGCATACTCAATTGCATACATACATATAATCACGCCTCTTTCCCGTAGGGGTAGGTAGAGATCACTTCTTTCCACTTGCTACGATCCTTACATACTTGTTACGCTTCGTCCACTTTCATTATTCCCTTCATAAATGCTCTTCGGTTTAGCGCACTCTTAACCTGGCCTTTTTTCAAGACGTCCCTGATTTGGCCTAAAAACATCCACCTAGGTCTACCTCTTCCAACACTTTCATTCACACTCGCCTTATGAACGTTTTTCGTCAATCGTTCTTCATTCATTCTCTCGACATGGCCAAACCATCTCAGCATACCTTTCTCAATTTTTGTCACTACATCTTCCAGACCACAACGTTTCCTTATCTCACTAATTCTTATCCTGCCACTCAGTTTAACTCCTATCATACTTCTTAACGCTCTCATCTCAACTGAATTTATTCTGCTTTCATGTTTCTTCTGCCATACCCAACTTTCACTTCCGTACATGAGTGTCGGAACGAACACCCTACCATGAACACCTAAACGAGCCTTGTTAGACACCTTCCGACTGCTCATAAAGGAGTGCAAAGCTCCATTCCCAATGTTACCTGCATTCACTCTTTATTCGATATCACCCTCACACTTTCCATCTCTCGTAAACTTTGAACCCAGATACACAAACTCCTTCACTTGTTCAATTTGCTCATCTCCAATCACGATGTTGCAATCTGTCAATGCCTCACCTCTTTCAAACACCGATGAACAGATTCATCATCACATTCACACACACACATCATTACAGCCCTTCACAAGTCCACTGCTGAACATAGGAACATAGGCGTCTCCCAAGGAATGCCACAAAAGACGGTCCTGAGCCACCTGCATCCATCGACTACCTGCATGTCGTACATGTCTTACCAGGTCGTCACTCCATCTAGTGGTGGGGGGGGGGGGGGGGGGCGGGGCGCCCTACACTTCGTCCGCCGGTACGAGGAACTCCGAGCATAGCCCTCTCCGCATAGACCTTGAGTTTCCTCGCCAGTAGTGAAGGACCACGTCTCAGTTTCATAGGCCATCACTGGCAACACACACTGGTTGTATAGTCTCGTTTTCAAGTTTTGAGGTATACCTGACGAGAAGATGTGCCGTAATTTCCCGAACGCTGCCCAACCGAGTTGCATACGTCGATTTACCTCTCGGTCGAAGTTGGACTTACCTAGTCGGACTATTTGTCCCAGGTAAACATAATCGTCAAAAAATTCGAGCTAATTGCTCCCAACAACTACCGGCATAGGTGTGACATCCATGTCCACATTAAACATGATCTTTGTTTTGTCCATGTTCATCTTAAGATCTATCCGTTGGGAGACACTGTTGAGGTCATTGAGCATAGTGCTTAGGTCCTCCAGCGATTCTGCGAAGGTGAGTGATGTACTCGCCATTGATGTTTATACCGTATCGATATACCGACAGTCCACGTGGCACCGGTGAAGGGACTGTAGCACCGCCCATATTTCGACGGAATCAAAGACTTTCTCATAGTCCACATAAGCAAGGCAAAGTGGCAGATTGTGCTCTTCTGTCTTCTGAACAATTTGCCGAAGGGTGTGTATGTGGTCTATGGTACTAAAGCCTTTTCGGAAACTGGCTGGTTCGGGAGGCTGGAAGTCGTCAAGTCTGCGTGCGAGACGATTCGTAATGACTCTCGAAAACAGCACGTAGACACGGCTCGGAAATCGGTTTGTAGTTTTTCAAGAGAGCGTTATCGCCTTTCTTGAAGAACAAAACCACCGCACATCTGCTCCACGCCTCCGGAGTAGTACCACCATGGAGGACGGAATTAAAGAGCTTCTCAAGGATTTCAATTACCGGTTTTCCACCCACTTTCAGAAGCTCCGTTGTAATTCCATCCTCGCCCGGGGACGCTTGCGTGTGGCTTCAACAATGACGTGTACAGCTGCCCATAGAACCTCTCAATCTCACTCAAAATCTCAGGTGCCCCGGAAACGAAGCTGCCACACTCGTCTTCAGCTTTGACAGTTGGCTCTTTCTGGCAGACAGATCTCTGGCAAAGACTTTGGAGCCCTGGTTCCGCTCAATCGCGTCTTCAATACAAGATGTATTGAAATTGCGCAAGTCCCGCCGCATGCATTTGAAGATCTGTCTGTTCAGATGCCTGTATGCTGTCAAATCTGTTGAAGACTGCACCTTCATTTCCCGTCTAACAGTCATGAGATTACGAGTGTGATCGGAGAGTTTTTGTATTCTTCTGCGGTGGGTCTTGTAGAACTTTGCTGCGACCGCATGGACAGTTTCCACGAGCTTTTTCGGGGCTCGACCAGGTCCACTTCCAGGTCCGCTTCTGAATGAAAGAGTTCATCATAAAGAGTCCCTCTTTCTCCATGACGTCGGCCAGCTCCTGGCCCCTTGGGTTCCGTTGCCCTATTCCGAATTCCCCTACTTTCAGCTCACCGTTCTCTCTTGTACCTAGTTTTGCATTGAAGTCTCCCAATAATACCGTATATTGGATTTTGGCGGAATGCATAGCTCTAGAGATATCCTCATACATTTCCTCCACCTCCTCATCGGGGTGTGTCGAGTTTGGTGCGTAAATCTGTATGACCTTCAGCGAATGCCGTTTGGTGACTCTGAGTATAAGGAACGCAACCCCCGTCGACACACTCCCAATCTTTACAACGTTGTTAACGAGAGACTTGTGGACGATAAATCCGACACTTCCTTGGGACAAATGGTCGCCCTCCCGGTGATAGAACAAGTTGGCGGGTTCGAGGCTTACCGTGTCCTCCCCCTCTCTTC